TTCAGGCCAACTTTTCGGGAATAAGGGCATACTTTCCCATTTCAGGGGCGTTTTATTCCCAAATACAACATCGGATTCGGACCAGACTGGTCGCATTAGATAGCCGGGGAGCTGTAGTTACCCCCAGACCTACGGCCCTCACGGGATAACGAAGGTTTATTTTTTAATAATTTTTTAAAAACGGTCGAAAATGTCCAAATGTTAGATCCGAATGAGGGTGGTCTGGTTGGATACCTGGAGTGCTCTCGTGTCCCACACGCCTGGTTTGATTGAGGGATAACTGAAATTAATTTTTAAGAATCTTTTGAAATAAGGAGAGGAGCTCAAAATGTCATATTTGAGAGGCATTTTCATTGGTACTGGAACATTCGATCTGAATGCCAGTACTCTGGTTGTATACCTGGCGTGCACTTGTGTGTCGACAACCTGGTGTGGTTGCGCAATCACCCAGATTTATTGTTTTAATGATTTTTTTTTAATATCAAGTGAAATTGATGTCGAATTATTTTTAATATCAACTGAAATTGATGTACAATCACCATTGACTTTATTTTCTATCTCCACCTGAGAACACTTATTGGTGCTGTTGTGAGAGTTCTTGTTCTTCCTCTGTGAATCCTTACCCGACAGCCAAGAAAGTACTTATTTTATATTTTAATTAATTTCTTTTCACTCAAAAAAATTACGTTTATGCATGCGTGGACGCTCTTTTATTTTGAAGGTGTCCAACGCCGCTCGCTGGCGACAGATTACCGTAATGCACAGTATTGACAATCGCAGTGGCGGCTCACTTGACTTCGATTTTGCGAGTGGAGGCTGGCTTGACCGCAGTCGGAATTCGATATCCCGCCGTCTTCAACTCAGCCTGTCACAAACGATGTTACTGTATTTCATTCACAAGATACTTATTTCTGCCTTGTGTTAGGCCGAGAGCCGTTCCTACCCCAAGTATGGTACGGTTTGCCATAGCGCTAACCCAAAGGAACCAAGACTTAATTTTGATTCAAGGAAACGAACAAAAGTAAATGTGTTTTGAAATACCACCACCCAGTGGCAGGTGGTGGCGTTGTGTTTCTAAGTGCACTGTTATATTCTATAGACACTGTCTAAAATATACTGAAGCCAATACAACAATAATTATAATGATGATGACGATGATGATGATGTCAACACATGTTGAAAGTGGAAGTGAATGTTTAAAAAAAAAAAAATCTAATTTCCTAGCTTTTATTTTGACATTTGTGAGAATGGGCTGAAAACCGGAAGTTTGAACTAAGAATCGGTCAAGAAATGCGGAAGCTGGAGATTACAATTTAAAAAATTGGGGAAAGGGAAGAGTTGAATGGCTTGAATGAAATGAACATGAAGTTGGAATTGTTTTGAATCGGATAAATGTTTGAATGGAAATTTTATGGCTGAAAAAGTGCAATATGTTGGTGAAAAATGTGGAATTTTTAGTATATGAGGATTTTTGAAATGTAGAAAATCATTCCCAGGGTGAAGTGAATGTGCTGAACATTTTGAATTTGGTATGGGAACGATGTGGAACTATTTTGTTGAATGTTTAATTGCAAGTGAATGGATATTTTTGGGTGAAAATATGTAATCGTGCGAAATGAATGTAGAAATATCATGCTCAAGATGGTGAGAATTTTTGGAATTGTGTTGAAGTTGGAACAGTTTGAATCGGATGAAATCAATCAATCAATATCAAAATAACAATAATAACATTAATAATAAGAGAATGTATGATAAATAAAAATAATCAATCTATCAGCTGTTTATTGCCCGGGTCTTATTTTTGCCATTGAGCTGACTTCTTAGGACTTGCCTCACCCGCTGGAGGTATTTGGCCGTCGCCGCTTTCCTTGTTGCCAGTTCGAGGTTGCCATTGGCTTGTGGTATCCCGAGGTACTTGTAGCTGTCCTCAATGTCTGCTATTGTTCCTTCGGGGAGTGAGACCCCTTCAGTGCGGACTACCTTGCCTCTCTTAGTCACCATCCAACTACATTTCTCAAGCCCAAATGACATCCCGATGTCACTGCTGTAGATCCTGGTTGTGTGGATCAGGGAGTCTATGTCCGTTTCGCTCTTAGCATACAGCTTTATGTCATCCATGTAGAGGAGGTGACTGATCGTAGCTCCATTTCTGAGAAGGTATCCATAGCCTCTCTTGGCGATTACTTGGCTTAGGGGGTTCAGTCCTATGCAGAACAGCAGTGGGGAGAGTGCATCACCTTGGTATATGCC